AAGCAAGACAAAACTATATATATATACATAAATATACTTGTTGCATCCAAATGTAGTTTCAAGTCCAACCATAGTGCCAAAATCCCCATTACTCTAAAATTAATGAAAGAAATGTAATGTCTTCTCATCTGAATGGCAGGTGGTGAGAGATTCAGTGACATCAGTTTCTGTACTGACCACTTCCCATCTTCCCATCATGAAACTCAGTGCCTTCCCTCATTGCAGATCCAGACAGTAACTGGGGAGCAAGTCTGGAGTTTGGAGGGCAGCCATGTCATTGAACCCTGAAAGGCGTCAGTGGACTTTCTGCTGGGGACATGTCACCAGAGGCAGCTTTGCTGTTCCTGGGGCCCCACTCAAAAAGTCACTTCGGGGCTCCCCCCTCAGATGTTTCAAAAACGAAATAAATAGCTAGCAAGCAGAGTCAGAAGATTGTAGCTGGCTAGCTGGTTCGCGGAACATCTCCTAAATGAGATGTTTATTTCATATTTAGTGTAGTGAGTGTTTGGTGGCCCCCCCCCCCCCCGCCCCCAAATGCAAATGCATGATTTGAGTGATGTAAACACAGCCACTGCATGTCAGACACCAGGGTAAAGATTCTGCAGAGGATTATCTGTATCTGTGGGAGCTCATATCTGTTTAGGTCTGCTCCATAGTCACAGTCTCTGGTAAAGGTCGGCCCTCCACTTTACAGTGTGACATATTAATTGAAAGATGAAAAACCATTCTTTTCCACTCTCCATTTTTTTGTGAATTTCACCGGGACTTGTGACATTGATTTATAATAGACATTCAGAACAAACACTCCTCTTTGCATTTATTATGACTCCAAACTAGTGTTCAAATTAATTTTCTCTAAGGACAAATTCTTGTATGCATAATAGACGTCTGTAAGACAGATAATAAGAACAGAGCGCTAATTCAGGATGAGTATTTCGTAAGAGGACAATTGCTGTCAACACATTCAAGTGGAACACAGCTGGCTTTAGTCACTGTAAAAGCTGCGACTGTGTCGAGAGTCACAGCTTGTGAGCCACAGCTACTCGAACCCGTGAGATCACGCCCGCTGAAATGGACAAAGCTGCCTCCTGATGCCCAGAGCGACTGACGCTTAGGAGAACTCCCACCCCCCACCCGTCAGCATTTTTAAGCACAGCTGGAGGCTATCTGAATGCAGGGAAGATTATTATTATTATTTTTTTCCAAGTGTGCAAATTACTAGGCCCAAACTCTGCTGTATGCATGCACAATGGATTTTTTTTCAATTACTTTCCCTTTATATACACACTATATATATATATATATATATATATATATATATATATATATATATATATATATATATCTTTTCTTATTTTGATTATAAACTCTTCCGCAGCCTTGAACATGCATTCAAGGTGACATCCTGAAACTATATTAAATTACAACGCCCTCAGTTTTGTTCATACTACTGTATACAGTGACCTCCATTTTTATGTTGTTCAGAATATTCATTTATTCTACAGACAGTATAAAAAGGAACAATTTTGGTTCAGAAAATCTTGGTTCAACACATTTGGTATAATACATTTGGTATGAGTCATTTCCTGATTTTCTGGTTTAATTAATAATTTTGTCCCCTCTAAGAAAAGCTGCAGCAAAATATTCACACCTGAAAAGTATCTATTTTAATAGTATTTAAGTGAAATATATTTGCAATAAAATGCCATGTTTTGAAGTTAACTGGAAGCTTAGGAAATTGTCTGTTCACCACCAGTGATTCGCTGTGTCTCTGGGGTCCTGAAAATCATCTACATATTTTCAAAAACAATATCAGCATCAGTGTGGTAACATAATGTAAAATCAGCAGACAAAACGTTATCGACCTGAGATATGTAGATGTGTACAGATGTGTGTGTGGGTATATATAAATCCAGGAAAAACTAACCACATTCAGTACCAGTCAAAAGTTTGGACAAACCAAGCCACCTACAAAGAAGAGTGATAGTTCCACATCACATGACCTGGTCACCTGACCTAAACACAGTGGAGATAGTTTTGAGTTTGACCAGCGAGTGAAGGAAAAGCAGCCAGTGAGTGCACGGCATATGTGGGACCTCCTTCAGGACGGCTGGAAGAGCATCCCAGGAGGCCGCCTCATGGAACTGGCTTAGAGGAGACAGGAGGGTCAGCCAGTCCCTGGAGCAATTGGGGTTTAGAGCCTTACTCAAGAGCCCAATGGTCATATCACTCTGCCAACCCAAGGATTTGAATCTGCACCCCTCTGAGTCCCAACTCACAGAGCCCCCCCACCAACAAATGAACTTTTTTGGTCAGTGTATAATTCCATATATGTTATTTTATAGTTTTGATGCCTTTATAATTGTTCTAAAATGTAGAAATTAGTACAAATAAGCCTTTCTATGGACATATGTGTCCAAACTTTTGACTGACGCTGTAACTTTGTTCTACTTTGCCAATTGCTAGCGAGTTTAAGGGTCCTGTAGCAACGGCGACGCTCCCAGGCTGCTAACAAGGACTCATCTTGCCCTGATGTACTTTCCAGGTTGGACAGTCGGAAATCTCTGAAACAATCTGGCATTTTCAGGTCACAGACTTTCTAACACCGCTATTCAATGTCACCTCCATAAAAATAGCTTTTACAGAAGGGCCGCAACATAAAATGCAACTGAAATTAGGTTTGCGGCTGGAACGGTGTTCTGTTCTGATGAGACACAGTGGTGCATGCCCAGGAAAGGATAAATCTGACGGGCGGAATCATGAACTCCACAAAGTAACAAGACATTTTGCCAAAAAAACATTTTCACTGCCAGGAGATGGATTGCAAACACATCAGCATCAACCAAGAAACGGTTGACTGATGTAAAAAACAGCATATTGGCATAACTTTCTCAGTGTCCTGAACTGAGCAAATAGAACACTGGTTATTTTGAATATGTTTTTTCAAGAACACAAATAACAATCGAGGGCTTTGTAACTGGAATTCTACATCAGTAAAGAGTATGGTCTTTAAGGACGTACCACTGCAATAGGCTAGAACAAAAAAATTTGTCTGAATTTAAGTCATTATAAACATTTCCAACAAAGTCAAATTATGGCCAGTAAATGCTGCTAAGCTCATGGAGGGTGATAATCAAATTCCAATAGCACAGGGCATAATCCTCATTCTCAGTTTCCAATTAAGAGTTGACCATCAGTCCATTACTTTGGAAAACCCACCCTGGATAAATTTTCTATTTATTTTCACTACCAAGTTTAAGAAGCGAAAGAAAACCTTAATAAGGATCAAGGCTTGTATGGCTCTGAATGTCTAATAAGAACATAAACTCCTAAATCCTAACCAGCCTGTGCTGCATCTATACAAGACTGAATCTTCTGGAAGGACTATAAGTACACACACACAGGTTTGTAATTATATCTTTGTGGGAACTCCCCATTCATTTCTATGGGGAAAACTTTAATCCCAACATGACGACCTTAACCCCTACTCAGCCCTAACCTTAACCATAAGCAACCAAACAAAATACAAGACTTTTGCCATTTTTACTTTTTTGATTGCACTTGCAAATCTTTCTTACATTGCTTTTTATTACATTGTGGGGGCCATTTGGTCCCCACAACATAATATAATCCTAAACCCCCCCCGCCCCCCAACACAAACACACACACACACACACTTGCCCAATACGAATTGAAGTGCTTCCTGAAGTTCACACATCCAACCAAAGTGTATGACGATATGGAGCCTTTAAAAAGATCAAACACATGCAAAGCAAATCTGTGCTACGGCAGCAAATACACTGATTGTGAGGTTTTATAAATGTAGACTAAGATTCCCACACTCAGCTACACCTTGAAGTTGTGAGACGGGTCCGTTTGTAGAAGGAGCTCAGAGGTCTAAGAGAATACAGACGCTCCTATACTTATGAACTTTCAACTTACGAACTTTCAGACATACGAACGAAGAGGACTGCAAGTCCAAATTGTGTTTCTTGGGCTCCCGTTTCCTGTGCGTAATATCAAGTTTTTTTTCTGTGAGTCAATTCCGCCTAGTACAACTTCTGGCCGCTACTCCCGCCACGCAGCAGCGTAGCGTACGTACTCCCAGCATCCTACTTCTTCGTATTTGTGTATAACCTTAAAATGATGTTGAATAACGACTTACGAACATTTCAAGTTACGAATGGCCGTTCGGAACGTATCTCGTTCGCAAGTAGAGGAGCGTCTGTATATAGCTGCACAGTTCTTGGCTGTCAGAACTCAAACATCTGCGTATATTTCAGAACCATCATTCATTTTACCAAACACTGAATTGTATATTAACTTAGCTTCAGAGAACAGCTACAGTATTCATTGAATGGGAATAACATTACAAGAGTTTATAATCACTTATTAATGAGCATAAAACTTCTTTAAAAATGATCATTTCAAGAAGCATATGTAGAAACAATGTACATGACATTTAAACATATTTTTAAACATGCATCCATTCACCTATCTTTCAACCACTCATCCCGTACAGTATCTTGGGGTATTTTTAAACATTAAATACATATTTTTTTCTGAGTTCATTTCCATCTTTTCAATAACTATTTGTCCTCTGGGAAGAGCATTACCCAATAAAACATTCCATACAAGAAGATGAAACTGGGATCTGTCTAATGAACATTCTCAGAGGCTTTTGGTGACTGTGGGCAGGAGGTCATTTATAAGGAGGCATCCTTATATACTGTGTATTCTTCTTTACAAAGCAAGTAGTATTTTCTGTAATTAATTAAAAATAAAATGAAATAATTGCCATTCGGATATTTCTTTCAGTCCCGTCCCGCAGGCGATCTCTCTGAGAGTATCACCTCGCAATCACTTGGGAAGTTTAAGAGTAAAAAAAGGCAATACCAAGAAAAAAAAAATTAAAAATACCAAGCTATACCAAGAAAAAAGAGAAAACAAGAATCGGATTAAAAAAAAGAAAAGAGGAAAACATCTGTAGATCAGTAGATTGTGGGGCGTGTCAAGGTAGCTGTTTAAAGGTATTATATGTGGAGCGATAGGCCTCCCTCCCCTTACCGGCCAAGTCTGTGAAGGGCCCCGGCATGCAGTTCGCAGAGCAGTCTGTAGGAGGCGCGTCCGTGTTTCAGTGCTATTCTGGGGTGCCAGAAATGGAGTACGACGGGTCGGCGATGGGGCACATGGGGGCAAAGCCCTTGTGGCTGTAGTACTCCACCACCTGCTTGGGCACCTCGGCGAGGACACACTTTGCCAGGGCAGCAGGAGAGGCCTAAAGCAAGAACACCATCAGCTGGGTGGGAGGGGGAGGGTTGTTGGTTCACATCCCAAAATCAAACAATAACAGCTACTGTAAACAGAACAGCTTCAGTAATAAGCATTATGTATAATCCATGTAAGGCCCTTTACATTAAAGTGCCTAGTAAAGAACAAAAACATCATACTATAAGATAAAAAGCAACTGGTCAGGTGGGACACATGCCGAATCCCATCAGAGGCAAAATCACATCAGATGCGAAGCTATATTAAAAACCTCAGCCCAGCCCTGGTTATAATAGAAACATGAGTCAGCACAAGCTCCACGCCCTGATTATTGAGGCCGCACAAGGCCAGCCAGTGATAACCACAACGGTCCGCAGCAGGAGTTCAGTAAAAGCCTAGACAGCCCCTATCCATTTGCTCCAAGGAAATAATTAGGCGTGGTGGTTAAGGGATGGGCAGGATGAGGCTGCATGAGGCCCCTGGGCTGAGCCCTTGGGAACCAATTTCTTCCGTAAATATCCGGATGTATACATCAGTATGGGCGGCAATTTGGTTTTAAAGGTTTTTTTTTTTTAAGCAAACATAGTATAATGAGCATTTTCTATTTTGTATCTTTCAAAATTGAAAGACGAGAAATTGGCCTGGAGGAATATTTCTATGTATTTATACTTTAAAAAAAAAAAATGATTGAACACCTCTGCTGTGCTCAGCATGAAAGTCTCATTCTGTGAGACTGAGAGGCCGCCTTAAAACGGCCTGAACCATCCACATCATGGGTGACAAGGCTGCTGTGCTGCAGCAGCATCTGAGGTCCGCAGCAAATTCCTCTGGGACGATTCTGAGTCATGCAGCTGGAATTAATGGTGGCCAATTGAAGTCCACAGAGTTTTTAGGCACTTTCAAATGATTCAATAATCATAATAATAATTCTGTGGCTCAGCAAGGCATGTATAGTACCGACTTAAGGACCAGCACAAGGAAACACAGAAGAGAGTATGAGAACATTCAGACTAACACAAAAAGAGAGATTTAAGTCATGAATATTTAGACATACAAATTATTTCAGGGTCAGAATGAAACTGCAGCTTATTATTAATGTAAAATAATTTGTAATGTTTTGTCTTCACGTGTACAGTATAGCATATTATTGAATATTATAGTACAGACTCCAGGTTACAAACAAGATCTGTTCCCCAAGCCAGTTTTTAAGTCAAATTTGCAGGTAAGTCGAAAAAAATACCCCTCTGTCCATATTCTCTAACCACTTGTCCTATTCAGGGTCGTAGGGGATCCGGAACCTATAGGAACAAAGCAGGGAACAACCCAGGATGGGGTGCAAACCCATCGCAGGGAACACTCACACCTAACCTATGGGCAATTTGATGACTCCAATTAACCTCAGCATGCTTTTGGACTGTGGAGGGAAACTGGAGTATCCAGAAAAAAAACCATGATGACATGGGGAGAACCTGCACACTCCACACATGGAGCCATGACAGAGACTGGAACCCCGGTCCTAGAGTTGAGGCAACAGTGCTAACCACTGCACCACCACACCGCCCCATTGGAATAACCCCAATATAGCATATAATAATAACTATTATTATACAGTAATAATAAATGTAACTACATACGGTTCAGTACTGTACCTCGAGCCAATGAACTGCTGAAGCCATGCAAAATTTTCATGAGTGTCACAAAGTAATACATGCGTTTATTAACACAAACCATTTTGTTTAGCCCAAATTTTTAGTATAATAGGCTTTATGGCTTTATGGCAGCGTTCGTAAATACGGCAGGAGTCCGGGCGTCTCTGCAAAGTGACAACAGCTCCCTGACACCCGTGAATGATGCACAATGTCCCGGAAATCTGTCATCCCACTATCCAGCGGCAGTAAAATTAGCCAGTAGAAAGTTTCACCGCTACAGTCCCACCCAAACTGGTCAGCGAATTTTACCACCCCCCTCTACCCCCGGTTGGCAAATTTTACTGGCACCACCAGCCCCCAGTTGACAAGTCTTGTCGCCAGCACCGCCCCCCCGGTTGGCAAAATTTACTGCCAGCACCCCACAATAAAAATGCCAAATATACTACGGTATACAGCATTACTATTATACCACCTAACCAGCATCCACCCCCCTAGTCCCAGCTGTCCCACATTTGCCTCCTTGAAATCAATATGCCTCAGATGGTATGGAGTGATATGGTATGGTATGGTATGGTATGGTATGGTATGGTGTGGCATGGCATGGTATGGAGTGATATGGTATGGTGTGGCATGGTATGGTATGGTATGGTGTGGCATGGCATGGCATGGCATGGTATGGTATGGTGTGGCATGGTATGGTATGGTATGGTATGGTATGGCATGGCATGGCATGGCATGGCATGGCATGGTATGGTATGGTGTGG